AGTGACGAATCTCACCAATTGGACGCTAACCGCCGTTGCGCTCCGCGGGACAATTGTACCGTGGCCGCGCTATGTCGTCGTCGCCAGGCGCAGATGTTTGCAGTTCGATGATAAGGTTAATGGCATCATTAATAAGGCCAATGGGAAGCGTGTGTTTGCAGCTTCGTGCGCGCATCTCGCGTGCTGCGAGCACAAAGGGGTAGAGGAGATTATTCATAAAGGCCCCTGCCTGCCTCCTGCCTCCCTCGCTTCTCCGGTGGAGTACGGTCTTAAGACCGGGTTCACCGAATTATAATTCCGCATTTGTATTCGTTAAGGCGCCCGGCGGTTAAGGCTGTAGCCGCGATGAATTTTGCGTTACACGCAATCAAGCGCGGCCGAGCGTTAATTAATGATCAGGCGCGCTATATGCTCCTCTCGGTGCGTCGACCGCGACTTGTTGCATATCGGCGCCCGAGAGGAGTTTTTTTTTTTTTTTTTTTTTTTCAGTATTCGAGACGTATAAAAGACAGAAATTGAAAATAATTTTAGTATCGACAATGATTTTAACAATACTAGTATCGATAATAATCGTTGCTTAATGCGATCTGAGAGACGCTTGGTTGAAAGACTTGAACCGCTATGTGGTACAGTTTCATAGTGCTACGTTCGTTTTATCACTGCAGTAGCAGTCAACGCGAGAGAATTATTCAATAATACAAATACAAATATTTTGATAGCTTTAATTTTTTGGCTATTTTGTAGAATATTTTCAGAGAGTGGTTATTTTATTATTATTTGCTTATATTTCTCATTATTTCTTATATTTTTTATTATTATTTGCTTGTGTTAATTTACAACGTGTAATTTCAATAAATTGCAATTATAATTTTGAACGTATAATTACAATAAATTACATAGATTTCCTTAGCAACAAATTTCTGGATAATTATTACAGAAAAAAATATTATTAAAAAAAAACAGAAAATTAAGAAAAATATAGAAATTGTTGGGCTTTCTTGTAATTATATTCTTATTTTTTCAATATTCTTGTATGAGAAACATAACTAATTATAAAAACTTACAACAGTTTTTATGCCCACGGACTAATTAAGGCTGACTATTCGTACGCAATTAAGGTAACGTCATAGAAAAAAGAAATATCACGTGTTAATTAAAGACATCTTTCACATAAGATATAATGGGATCCGTCGTTAAGGAACCGTGAATAAAAGCGCCACATTAATTATTCCGGTTTAGCGATCAGCCATTTTTCGATGGAGACACACAATATAAATTGCTTACAGTAGGTCAACTTTTAACTCCAATAATTACGTCATGCACTTATAGTATATGTACCTGATAGAAATATCTTATTGAAAGTACTATGAAATCGATGAAAAATGAAATAAAAGTTACTGAAAAATTATATATTTCAAAATAAATTACATTTTTTTTATGAAATGTAATATAATACTCTAAAATATAAGGAAAGTTAAATTATACTATTAAAAAAATAATAAATTTTTTGGAATTTTAGATATAAAATTTACTTAATTTAACTAAAAACTGAATTTCTTCTGAAATATTGGTGGAATAATAATGAAATAAATCAAGAAAGAATTTTTAATACCTTTTCGGTAAAATTTCATTACATTTTCAGTAAAATATTTTTGTTAGATAAATACAAGTTTTTTTTCTTTCACTTTTTGAGATGCAGATTTCCCATCCGCATAGAATACATAAAAGTTTTCACGCGAGCCGTTTGGCGAGTTCGAATCATCCCTCTTGAATATTTTTCGAACAACTTGACGTCGCGCGAGCGCGAGGGGACGAGTAGAGTAGCGACGAGCAGTGGCGTGCCGCGGTCGGCGTGCCGTTGTAGCGGCGCGCCGATTGGCCGCCGCGGTCGGCCATCCTGCGGCGGCGCAGCGATACCCGGCGCGCGGCGGCAGGTGCGCGCGCACCGCGGAACTACTTTCAGCGCGTTAAGCGAACAATAGGGATCCCAGAAGTGTTTCGGACTCGGACGCGGTCGTGTTCGTTTACGTCGTGCCGTATGCTTTTTTTCCCCGTAGCCGCGCGAGCACGCCGTGCACACTGGGACCCGGTTGGTGACGTATCGGCTGGTGACGCGCGTCGCGGACGATGCGCCCGGTCGAGTGACGGCGCGCGGTAATACACCAATATCGGACACAAGTGTGCGTCGCGCCGCGCCGGTGAGTGTCCGTCCGTCCGTTCGCCCGTCCGTCCTCTCGTTCGCGTCCGTTGGTCTCCGTTCGTTTCCTCCCGAGTGTGTGCGCGCCCGTGCTCCCTTCCGATGAGTGTGTGTCTACCCGACGTGTGTGGATAACAACAAAAAAATAGTATATAATAATTCACGGCGCCATGTCGCTGCCACGGCCGAGATTGGATTACGCGCTCACGGTCGGACCGTTGTTGCTCGCGTTGCTGGCGTTCACCTGCGTGCCCACGGTATCCGGTGAGTACGAAAACTTTTGTGTTATGTTATTCGTGGGCCCCGCGGCCGGAGCTGGCCGGAGCCGCCACATGTCGCGGAGGCCGCTGCTAGGCAACAGGATCGCGAAGCGACGCCGAGCGCCGCGGCGCCGCGCCGGCGCGCTGGACGCCTCGTCGACGTCGGCGTCGTCGCGTCTCGACTCTCGCGCGAAACGTCGGCGACTGTTATTTATACGCCGCGTCTCTGTCCCGACGACGCGACGCGGTCGCTCTCGTCGAGGGATCGCCTAGCCGTTTCGTTTCCCTCGACGTCCGACATTACCGTGCTCGTCTTAGTTCGCTTACTATCTGTCTTGAAAATATCGACCGCCGCCGCTGCCGATATCGCGTGCGATCGGGCTCATTTCGCGAACCCCGCGAGTGTTCCACGAAGATATGATCCTCGACGCGAACGATCGCCATTCCTCGAGACTCGCCGCTCGCCGCCGAACGTTTCGATGAAATTTTTTTTTTTTTAATCTTTGTTTACTTGTCGGATCGAGAGCGCGTTTCGAAACGCGCGAAAGAACACGCCTCGCCGATCTTTCTCTCGTGTCAGACAGGCCGATAGGTCGACGCTGTCAAACTGACAGCGAAGGCGAGCGTGCAGCCCGTGCAGGCCGTTTCGGAGTCGGAGCGACGGACGCTCCAAAACGGACGCACGTGATGGTGTGTTTAACAATGCAGCGGTGCTCATTCGCCCCGGCGGCGGCGTCAAGATACGGGGGGCCCCGCGTGGCTCGAGCCCGAGTTGGCAGTCCCTGAGGGACAGGTGCCCAGCCCCAGCTTTCCAGGAAGCGAGCCATCCCTTCTTCTGCGTGCGTTAACACGCTCCAACTCGACATTTCGCCGCGCGCTGCTCCCTCTCGATATTTTGCGCACGGAACGGCCGGGGCCCCCTTCCGCGGGAACCGTATCCTGTTTTGACCCTCTTGCGATTGAAGCGTATTCGATGAGCACGTTTGTGACCTGGGGTTGTCGAAAAATTGTACAAAAAATTCGAGAAAATTATTTATCGTATAATTCGATCGTTTTTTATTATCATAATT